GCATGCGCTGAAGCCCGTTACAATGCCCGGGAAACACAGAATGTCATGCAGACAATGTGACACAATGATACAAGTGACACCGTGACGCTTCGAAATTATGTAATGAAGCAGTGGCATTGGTAACACTGGCCGATGTGTCGGCTATCAGTGAAGTGGTGGCTTCAGATTTATAAAATTAATACATAGATTGGTTGGTAGAAAAGCGATAGATAGACAAAAATGGGAAAGTAGAATTTTGTTTGCCATGCAGCGAAACATCAGCCATTATATTGGTATGCACTTAGGTACTTATTATTAAATTAGCATAAAAAAATAACTTTCAAATGAAAATATCACGGTCTCCGATATCACACATCATTACCCTCAATTGTTCAAACGTTCCAAACCAGCACTTTGCCTACAAGGGACATGCATCACTCTCAAGCGTCTATTTGAAAACTGTGTTTGCTCCGAGTGTGAATTGATGGAGATCACATGCTGGCGTTGCACAGAGCAGCGAGCACCAAAATTGAGGCAACTTATCACGATTCATCACCGTCCCCTGCTAACCTGAGTGATGGCATATTTCATGGACATCTATCAACCTTCTGTGAGCAGACCCTAGCTCATTCGACATACAGTAACTCCTCCCTAACACAGATACCACAAATCTCTGTGTTGCAAGCTCGGTTGCAGCCGCTCGGAAGTGGCCATCTCTCCAGACTCGCTCTCAGTTCGTCCTCCATCACCTCATCATCACATCGTCAAGTATTTGCAGTCAAAATAGACCCACCTCGCTGGGGAAGGGGAGGGGAGGGGCGCGAGGCGGGCACCCGATCTGCGTGGGAGCTCGTCTCGGGTGTCGCCCCGGCCCCTCCCCTGGTTCCCCGCCCCTCCCCAGCGTCAGAGGCGGCGGCAGTCGGCCAGGGAGCTATTTATAAACAAACACAGCGCAGGCGAGAGGTACTCGTTAGCGGAGACGGCGGCGGTCCCGGCGCAGCGGCGGCGGACCGGTGGCGCAGGCACCGCGCCGTCACCCGACACGGCCCGGGAGGCACGGCACGGAACAAACGGGCACGGCACCTGAGGCACAGCACGGCACGGCACGGCATAGCACGGCCTGAAGAACCAGTCCAGCAAACAAAGCCCATTTTTTCTGGAGGCATATCAGTTTATGACAATGCTTTGCATCTCGATGTTTAGTCCATTTCTTCAACTGCTACTCAATATTTTTCTTTAGCATGCAAACAAACCGCCTAAGAGGATCGCATCAAACATCCACCATCACTGTTTTACACCACATATCAATATGAATGGCCCACCAAGCCTCTCACGCAGTCTGGACTGTGACTAGCCGCTCCCCGTCCCATAAAACGGTCAGCAGACGCCGCGGGTTTCGCGGCACCCTCGCAGCGACCAAGGCCCGCAGCGCACGGCACTACCGCAATGGAGCACTGGGAATAGCGGGCGACACACGCGGTAGCTGTGCCAAGAATACCCGACCGCCTCGGATGGCCTCACTCGAACCCACTCAGAGTCGTTGTCCGAGGCGAGGAGGGACTGGGAGAGGGCGACGCACTGCAACTGTATCCAACAGAGAGCCCTGAGGCGTATCGGGTGGCTGATAGGATAGCTGCTGGGGATGCAGGAGCTGTAAAGGCTAGCTTTGGATGTCTTCGACATCGTGGAGCTGAAGATTCAACTGGGCAACTTTACAGTAGTTATATTAACTCTGAAACCTACGTGGAGTAGAGACCAGAGGTAGATAGTGGAAATGCATCCTGTTGACACGACACTTGCCCACATACCAGCTGACATCCCTCAACCATATATGCACACGGCACGTACCGCTCATGTTCTATGACTCGGCAGCGGTCGACTCTGAGACTGGACACCACGTCCAGCCGGCACTCTGTAACCAGACACCCGTGCAGTCAACAAAGGTCACCAGACACCGGAGACCAGACTCGGGGCGCCCTCCGACCCGGTCCGCGCTGCCGCTGCACACTGACAGGGCACACGGCTCCCATCGCACACTGCAGACGACCCAGGGCGGGTAGATTTCCAGACTCATACCACGGGTAGACAGACCCGAAGAAGATTGTTTGGTAGAGTCTGGGATAGAATTGATGGTGGGAGATATAAGAATGGCTCGCTGGGTCAGTGTGAAGATACACTCAACACTGTTCTGGCTAAACTCGCAAACCCAGCCTGTGTCGGGTGCCGACCCTTCACAGCAAACGGCTCGTCTCAATCCAACTCGCCCGCCGCCGCCGCCTCTGCCGTCTCCGCCGCCGCCGCCGTCGGGCCGTCGGGCTCGGCGGCGGCGGCGGCGGCAGCTGGGACGCACGTGAGCGGACGTCGGTGTCGTCGGCCCGCCTGAATCACAGCCGTCGGCAGCGACAGCCGACGGCGGCGACGGGGCGCGGCTGGCGCGGCTGCAACCGGCCGGCGCGCAGGAAGACAAATATACAGGACGGCGGACCGGAGGCGCCCGGTCGGTCGGCGGAGAGGGGAGGGGCACGGTCATTCGGCGGTGTTTGGGTAACCTTCACCCAGATCGGCACTCAATACACCCGACATACGGCGATGGGAGTGCGAGCTGCGTGAACAGCATGAACTTGACCCGAACTGGGATCATCTGCCTGAGCCGACATGACACGTAAACCGACCTGATCTGACCTGGCCTGACCTGCGGTGAGCTACAACTGGACCTGAGACGAGAAGTGTAATATAAGCTGGACAGAACATCCCACCTGGCATGACACACTTATCTGGCATCTGAACAAAGAGTAGAGCCGGTATCAGTGACAACATTCTAACCACATCAAGTCGTTTCAAGAGTGTTTGGGCATCAGGGACTCCGTTTGCTTACAGGTTTCCAAACGTGAATCACCGGTCAGGAACTGAGGTCGGATTCCAGATCAACAGCGAGCCGCTCTCAACGCTCTTGAGTTCATTGGCCAGCCCCGCCTCTCTTCCCCGAGGAGGCTGTCGTCACGTTAGAGCGTCATCGTGAAGCGTCATCAGGAGCGTCATCCGGGGAGCGTCATCACTTCTGTCACGGTCTGAGAACCGTTGACAGTTAGAGCAGTCATCACAAGAGGGAACCACCGTAACGGTACGGCCCAAGACATCATAAAAAGCAGCCAGCACCACAGCTAAACCATCTATCAGTCTGACATGGCAGCGGTTTTTTCTGTTGCAATAAACCAGCAAGCTGGTGTGCGCTTAGCCCTCAACAGTAATTCTATTTTTATCAGCACCGCTACCACGTTACAACATCCAGCGTTATTAGAATTTCGTCTCATTAGCTCAGCAAATATTAAAACACCCCACTTTTCATCATCCCCGCCTTTCCCGAGCTTCCCACACTGTTGGCAGCGGTTTGCTCCAGTCCCATCCCACCCCGGCCGCGCCCGCCGCGTGCCGGGAGCCCCGTCCCCGCGCGGTCCATCCGGCCAGCGGCCCTGCACGGGGCCGTGGGTGCGGCAGGCGGCAGTGTTTACACTTTATACAGATCTCTGCACTGCATTGCACTGCAGTGTAGGCTGCTGGCCGGGCCAGTCAGCTGATCCAGGCTGGGCACAGCCGGCCGGGCGGTGGAGTGCAGACAGGGTATGGCGGTGTACGGATGGGATCCTTCCGCGGTATGGTAGAAACTAGAATACCATCGAGTATGGTGACGCACAACAGGGGCAAGAGATCTTGTAACAAATAATAAAATCGAGGTAATTGTAACGACCAATTAAAATTACATACCTGGAGGACTCTCAGCCACAGTTAATGGAAAAGCAAATGAGCATTGGAAACGATGTAAATCCCACTCGGCAAATACGGGGAGTTCCATTTACACTGCGCTTGTGTTCTTGCCAGCTGGCACTATCCTAATGCCACGAGAGGATCTCAGGCTAATTGAGCGTGGCTTTAACATCGTACCAATGTCATGTTGATTGTTTGTGAGTAGGCTAGTTTCGACACTGGCGTCACTGTTGGCGAATCAATTTCAGTCAGGATTTTGGCATTGGATCCTTGGCTGTTGTTTCACTCGGGTGTTTTACAAATCGAACCTGATGCCAATTGTCTCTGGCAAGGCCAAACAGCAGCCAGTCACACAAAGACAAACACGATGGCTCAGTATTTCGAACGGCTGATTGGAGGTCCAGGATAAAGATTTAAATGACGCATGGGAATGGGTCTCAATTCCGTCTCCTTCTGAAAATAAAGCAGCGCTGTCACTGAAACGTTTTGCTTTGCTTTCTCTGAAAGTTGAAACAGACTCTGCGTTCTAGAGTGGGTGGACTCTGATGCATTGAGGATGGAGGTGGGGATTGGATTACAATGAATTACACATGACGTGAGTGATTTGATTACTGAGGGGGGGGGGGAATTATACCTATTTATGTGATACAGAACAGGGAGAAGTAAAACTGAGTGATGATAAAAATAAAAGGTGCATTGCAAAAATGTCATTCTCGGTAAAAGCAGCTCATCGTGATCATATATGATCACGACGATGTAGGACAGTCCAAAGTGCGTAGGACAGTCCAAACTCCAAATACAGCCCTCCGGGACGTAAATCAAAGACCTGACACCGTCCAGCTGACATGAGCTGATGTCTGCCAGCTTTCAGCCACGCACGAGGGCAGGTGTGAACTATGTTTTCTTTGCACCAAAGGGGACCGACTCAGCGACGTTGGAGCACTGCCAATGCCAGCACGCTGGGTACGGGGATAGCGAGTACGGCACGCACATCTCTCTGGAGGGAAGCCAATCCTGCGGCGACCGGCAGCAGAGGTGGTCCAAAGGATGAACCCTGGGCAACACCAGGTGCTCGGCTGGTGACTCTACTCGATTGATCTAATGTCTTCACATGTAACTGCGTTATAAGTCGTAGCTTACACTGAATAACTGTGATATGTCGACCAGCTGTCCGCCCAACTATCGCCATTGTTACTCTAGTTCTGAGGGATCTCAGGTTTTGGTGACCGCCTTGGATCGCCCCAGCCCCGGGTACTCACCCTTCCTTCTGCTCGGCGGCCCGGTCCCGCTGCCGCCGGTTCTTGAACCAATTGGAGACCTGGGTGGTGGTGAGGCCGGTGCCCTCGGCCAGCTCGCGTTTCTCGCGCGGACTCGGGTAGGGGTTCTGCATGTACCAGTCTCTCAGCACGTTGCGCGACTTCTCCTTGAAGCAGTAGGAGGTTTCCTCACCGTCCCAGATTGTACGAGGGAGGGGAAACTTGCGGCGAACGCGGTACTTGCCGACAGCGCCCAGTGGTCGACCGCGGATCTTCTCCTGCTCGATGTAGTGCGCCTTCAACCACAAGTTCTGCAACTTGGGGTGGTTGTGGGGGGAGAAGTGGTTGTTCTCCAGGATCTTGTAGAGCTCCTTGAACTGGCCTCGATGGAAGGCGACCAGCGCCTTGGCTTTAAGCACCGACTCGTTCTTGTGCAGGAGCTCGCAGGCGGGCAGCGACCAGAGGAAGCGTGCCAGCCGCTCGATGTCACCGCTCTGCTGGAGCACTTCACACACACAGGCCACCTGCTCCTGGGTGAATCCGAACGTCGGGTGGCTGGGCACGGCCACATGGCCGGCACCGCCGCCCAGCGACAGCCCGCTCGCGCAGTCGCTCATCAATCCCGACAACATGCCGCCCCGGCCGGCCGCACACCACTGAATCGGATGTCAGTCACTTGATCCAAGAGGCTGCCAGCTCGAGTTACGGAGCCGGCCCCGCCCCCGTCGCGCGCCCATTGGCCGCCGCTGGGGCGTCGCCATGGTGACTGAGCGGCCTCACGCGACGCGTCGGCGGTGGGCGGAGCCGAGTCAGCGCTGGCCGCGGCCGAGGAAGATCGATTGCGACTCTGACTGAAATAGCGGCATCACAGCTTGGATAGCCGCTAAGTTCCTGTCGGAGATACGCTCTGTGACCAAACTGGTCACATCTCGGACAACAAGCTCGGACAATCCAGGGGAATCTGGCCACAAAATTGTCGAAAAGACGTCAGAAGCATCAAGCAAAGGATCCTTCATCCGAATGTAATCCAGTCACCAGCCATGGTCAATAGTCATCCTTCAATCAACACACGATGCTGGTAAGAAATATGACAGATTACGCCCAAAAAGACGTGCAATTGGTTTTGCTCTGATATCACCATTTGAGCTCAACCGAATCAGTCATCTAACATCTGCGAATGATTGGCGGTGTTTCTGGCTGTGGCGGTGTTTTACCAGCTAGATTGTACATATCTACCTAAAATCAGAATTTTGTGGCCGGTGGCCACTGGTGGGTTCAGAAAAGCAATTGAGCTTGAAAGAGCACAGTCCCAACTAAAAAATGTTTCCTAATTTCCAAAAGCTTCTCGGATTTCGCTTCCTCGTGTCTTGTTGTGCAATTCAAATCAAACTTCTGAACGTAAAAGTTGCTTGGCTTTTCTTTTCCTTTCAGGAGAATGGCAAAATTTCGTCGATATCGGGTGATTCAGGAGGTTAAAATGTTCCAAATGATCCCCATTCCTCTTTGGATTTGCCAGCGTTGATGTCTAAACGTAATAGTACAGGCTACATTAAAGGTAGTGTGCCACCTTTGAAAGATTTCCCATTTTATTTTTCCTAGGATAAGAAGCTTCTGTTTTTACCTAATATCGCAAAAAAATCAAAAATGGGCCTGGAATAGTGCCTTTTTCGCCTAAAAGTTTTTCGGTTTTTAGATATGTATAACAAATGTAGTGGGCTCACCTGCAAACAGGCGTCGGGCAACAATCGCGAATGCGGCGCACTTGTGACAATAAGCAAAGGTCATTATAGTGTTACGACCATACGACGTACGGGAATGAGTTATCAGCTGTCTAATCGTAGACAACACAATGTCGAGCCTTAAACTGTAAGCCCGTATTGGTATTGTTTCTTTTATTTGGCTGTCGAACATTATTTATGGTTTGAAATATGATTTTATGTAAAATAATTGATATGAAAAAGCCGTCTTATAAGTTATGACCCCATTTCACCACACGCAAGTGGCAGAAATGACAATGATCAGCTGACGCATTTTTCTTGGCCGAAGTCAGAGCGCGCGGCCCGACGCACCACGCGTATTTGGAAATTCCGACCCGACGAGCATCAGAAGCCACCTAACAGGCGTGTTCGAAACCGCAGGAGATGATGATGAACGGGTTTATCGAAACTTGATTGGATGAGCATATCGGTAATAGCGATTTCAGTGTGTGCATTTATTGTTCATAGTGGTGTGAAATGTGGTTGGGGTACGACCGACAACCCGTCGGGGCGAATTTCGCACTGGGGTACTCAAAATTTGAAGAATTTAACCCATTTATGCCCAGGAATATTGACCATCATGAAAATCGACGAAATCAAAATATGTTATGCTCCTACCAGGGCCTTGTATGGAATCGAAAATAATTTTTGCCTGCAGCAAAAGTTTCTCGAGAAAAACGTAAAAAACATGCGTTGCGAAATCGCAACGAAGGGCACACCGGGCGCCATCAGCGTTGCGAAAACGCAACGACGGGCACATCAGACGGACATAAAGTACACTGAATTGCCGTATATGCTAATATATTTTGACAAAACATCAATCAACTGTTGACAACTATTGCTTGAAAATGCGGAACCCACATCCGTCATGCTCTATAACCCGCCTAAGAGCCTCAGTGAGGAAGCATAACTTCATGATTCGCGAACGGGGAGATGGCAACACGGTCATTATCAACCATTTACGTTGTCCATTGCTGTATATTTAAAGTTGTGGTCGACACGTATCCAGGGTGATGCTTTCTTTTTGGAAGCTAGACAGATCCATTACCTCCACCTATCAGACCCTGCACAGTGCACACTGAATACAATTAAACGGAGGATTGGGAGTAAACCAGTGTCTCTCGTATGCGCGTATATCCGCAATCATTTTTAACCACCCTCCTAGGAGTAGAGTTAAATTCCATTGCAGGTTAGTCGTACCCACTCTCAGCAAAAAGAAAAAAGGACCGATCCGGCTCTAACAAATTACCCGCGTAAGGCGTAGCGCATCACAACAAATCGACTCCCAGTTTATCATGTTTACACCTAATCCAAAATTTTCATGGCCCCACTCTCAGCGACCTTCACGTGTAACCTCTTTCTCGAGACAATGCCAGGACAGAATGGTGATTCGACGTCAATCCGTCCTTTCCATCTTCAGGATAGTTGAATCCTCCTCCACGCCTCATCCCCCTGTTCCGGGCTGGACCGGCAACGTATATCGCAATCGGGCAGCTCACATAGGAGCGCGCCTGTAGCCGGGTGCAGTGAGTGCTTGGGAGGGAGGAAGGGGGTGGGTCATGGGTTGCGGCTGCCCACTGGCTGGGCTCAGTCTCCAGTCTACGATTGACCGTGTCCGGTCAGACAAATGTCTCCCCTAATTCCAATAATCCTGCTAGCTCTAAAAATGGTCTGATAAGATAAAAAGCCTATCAAAGTAAGAAAACAGGCGTATACTCCACATCAAGCAGCTTATGAATCTATGCGAGTTATGAATCCTAAAAATTATTATTTTCCCATGGGTCCGCACTCCGCCCTCATTACCCCTGCCGAAGGGCTCAGCTACCCTCAGAGGGGGCCTATCCCACTATTTGCCGACCCTCAGTTATCTTTTCTAGCGTAAATGCTGGTAGTCAGCAGATTCTATCCAGAGAATGGCGATGCCTATCTGTCGCCTGATACCAGAATACATCCCCGTTATTCATTATTTATGCACAATAGTAGATCCAATTTCCAAAGGACCTAATTATCTCTCAGCTCCGTTAGCATTGCCGACCGTTTGATGCATGGGTCCTTTTCCTACCATGCGATTTTCAGATGCATGGGAACACATTGCTCAGTGAACGAACAGCCCGAGGCCGAATATCTGCGAGAGCAAAAGAAAGGAGTGTTTGTGGCTGTTTGAGCCAGCAAATATGAAATGTGTCGCAACATTTTACGTGCGAACGCACCTTGCACTAAACATACCTATATACGTCCCTCATGGCATAGGCGGCGGAGCGGGGGGAGGGGGCACCGGGGCACCGTGCCCCCTTGATTTTGCCATTTTAACATTATCCCGATAGGCGTTGCATGGAAATGGAAATGGAAAGAATGAGACCAAAAGTCAGCAGTGCTCCCCCCCCCCCTTAATTGAAGATGTTCCGCCGCTACAGCCTCATGGCTACAAAATGAGAGAGAGAAAGAAAGAGAGAAAGAGAGAGAGAGAGAGGGGGGAGAGAGTTGGGGAACGAGGAGGAGAGGGAGGAAGATGGGGGAGAGAAAGAGAGAACCCACAGCGTATCACGAGTGAAGTCTACTGTTGATATTCATACTTCCGCTACCCTGCCAATGTGCCCATCGTTGCGTTTTCGCAACACCGCTGTCTTTCCGATGTGCCCTTCGTTGCGTTCCCGCAACGCGACCGTAGTCATATTTGAAAATAGTCACAAACCCTTTTTGTAGCATTATTTCTTAACAAAATGCATATCTACGCTATTGTAGGGACTCTGCAGAATATGTTTACACAATTTTCATTACGATATTATTAAGCACTTAGCCTACTTATCTTGGTTTTCGTGACGTCATCACTCACAAAACCTTCGACTTCCCTCTGGGAGCTCTAGGCAGTAACTTACCGGCCGCACAGACTTGTAACTGCGTAGTATCATGCGCACAACCATGCTACACACGCTGAAACTTGTTTCATCGGTTAGTCTCTTTTACACACTTCTCAAGCTTCGATCACGTCGACGCTTGCTTGCGTTGCGAAAACGCAACGAAGGGCGTAAATGGGTTAAGACGTTTCCATGAGTTTTGAAGGTAAGGATAAGTTCTAAAAATCCGGTTCTCCTTATCTGGGCCATTAACTCCATACGGTCCAAGAAAGCTGGCACACTACCTTTAAGTTATGACCCCATTACACCACACGCAAGTGGCAGAAATGACAATGATCAGCTGACGCATTTTTCTTGGCCGAAGTCAGAGCGCGCGGCCCGACGCACCACGCGTATTTGGAAATTCCGACCTCGACGAGCATCAGAAGCCACCTAACAGGCGTGTTCGAAACCGCAGGAGATGATGATGAACGGGTTTATCGAAACTTGATTGGATGAGCCTATCGGTAATAGCGATTTTAGTGTGTGCATTTATTGTTCATAGTGGTGTGAAATGTGGTTGGGGTACGACCGACAACCCGTCGGGGCGAATTTCGCACTGGGGTACTCAAAATTTGAAGAATTTAAGACGTTTCCATAAGTTTTGAAGGTATGGATAAGTTCTAAAAATCTGGTTCTCCTTATCCGGGTCATTAACTCCATATGGTCCAAGAAAGCTGGCACACTACCTTTAACGGGCGGCTTTCGCGTTTTGCGGTTCCGCGGGTTTTTAGTTTGTACGTTTTTTTTTTTTGTTCCAAGCGGCCCCAAAGGTACGTTTCTGTTTATAGCATAGTGATAACAAAGTGCTCATTTTTTTGAAATATTGTTTCATAACTATAACTGTGTTTTTGCAAAACTACAAAAAAATATTGGCTTACACTTCATACATATAACTTTGAATAGAATTTTGATCATAAACATTTGTTGAGTACATTATCAATAATCATATTTCAATAGAACGGTTGCCGAAACTTTAGTTTGCTTTTTATAATTCATGATTT